GGCGCCCCGTAGAGTCTTTGAGTGAGGAGAGCCAGCAAAGCCCATAGTGGTCCGTAATAACTAAGAATGGTCGGCCATAGAGGTACGTACGGTCGGAATTTCGCAATTGCCCAGACGAGAGCTAAGCACTCGCGTTCGGTGATCGAATAGCATTGTTCCGAGCGCGACAACAATCGGCTTGCGTACGCGACGACGCAGTGCATTCCTTGTTGCCGCTGGGCCAGCACTGCGCCTATGCCGCGGCTAGTGGCGTCAGTACGAAGCTTCGAGGCGGCAGATGGGTCGAAGTGTGCTAGGACTGGTGGATTGGTGAGAATCTCAATGAGCGACGAGAAGGCGTTTGCTTGCTGTTGGCCCCAGGTGAATGCGACATCCGTTTTGAGGAGGCCAGTTAGAGGACGGGCTACTTCAGCAAACTTCTCGACAAAACGACGGAAATAGAAGCACAGTCCCAGAAAAATTCGGACGTCCTTGGCTGAGCCGGTTGTGGGGAAGTCGCGAACTGCTCGGACTTTCGCAGGGTCTGAATGAACGCCCGCAACGTCAACAAGATGGCCGAGTACGCAGATTTGGCGTTGCCCAAAGCGACATTTGGACGAGTTACGTTGCAAGTTGGCACGTCGGACAACATCAAGCACTGTGGACAGACGGGTAAGATGGTCGTCGAAAGTAGTCGAAAAAACAATAACGTCGTCAAGATAGCGGAAGCAGAGGGTCCACTTCTTGCCTCGAAGGAGAGAGTCTATCATGCGCTCAAAAGCCGCGGGGGCATTGCATAATCCAAAAGGATTCGTCTTGAACTAATAAAGTCCATCAGGAGTCACGAAGGCCGTCTTCTCTCTGTCTTTGTCGTCCACAGCGATCTGCCAGTAGCCTGAGCGAAGGTCTATTGAAGAGAAATATTTGGCTCCGTGTAAGCAATAGAGTGCATCATCTATGCGCGGTAGGGGATAGACATCTTTCTTGGTAATATGGTTGAAATGACGGTAATCAACACAGAATCTCCAGCTATTGTCCTTCTTTTTACCAAGTACAACGAGTGAGGACGAGGGACAAGATGAGGGTTAGATTACGCCCTTATGAAGCATTTTATCAACTTCTCGCTATATAATAGCACGCTCCGGGGCCGACACACGATAGGGCCGTCGGCGAATGGGCCGAGCGTCACCGGTGTCGATGCGATGGGTTACCACGGATATCTGGCCCAAATTACGGTCGCCGAAGTCAAAGCTGTCCCTATAAGAAGCAAGCACACTGCAGGGAGCAGAGACTTGTTCAGAGGTGAGCTTGTCAGATAGCATTGACTTGAAAAGGTCGGAACAGGAACGTGACGAGAGCGACGTTGATGAAAAATCGGGTGGCGGATCGGTGGTTAGGGCGGAAACTGTGTGGTCGACTAGTGGTGTCAAATGCGCAAGTGACACGCCGCGAGGAATAACTTGCGCTGAGAAGCCAAAATTGAGGACGGGAAATGAAGTTCGGTTGTCCTTAACAGTAACCACCGTGGGTGGTGAGTGCAAAATTACGTGTCATGGCCACGTCAGAAATTGGGGCAGCAGCGTAATCACCATCGGGTACTGGAGGATATGGCGAGAGTTGGACTTGGACTGCGGCTTGCGGCGGAAGTCTGAGGAAATTGACAGAGCGCAGACGAGGTGGGCTGGTAAAGACGGTCTCTGAGAAGTATGGTAGTTTGAGCCGAAGAAGACCTTTGGAACAGTCAATAAGCGCAGCGTCTGAAGCCAGAAAGTCGAGTTCAAGAATGAGGTCATGAGGACAATTTTCCAGTACAGCAAACAGAACTGAAGCTGGATGCTAAGAAATCGTTATTCGCGCAGTGCACATTACAAGGACAGCAGGAGTACTGCCATTCGCTGTACGAACGGTAGGTGCAATCGCAGGCGTCACAACTTTTTGGAGGCGGCGGCGGAGGTCTGAGCTCATCACAGATATTTGCGCACCGGTTCAATAAGAGCAGTTACAGGGAAACCATCAACGAGAATTGTAAGAAGGTTGCACCGCTGGTCGGGTGTACTCAGAGGATTCGCAGTCCGAGTCGTGTGTGCAGCGTCACCTCCGGGGGCTGCACCGGCTAGTTTTCCGAGCGACGGTCGTAGGGAGACCGAGGACGGCGGGGTTGGGGCGAGCGGGACTGACGACGCACGGGCGATGGCGAGCGGCTGGTCCAACGTTCTGAATTATGCTCTGCACCTGTCTCTGCACGGTAGGACGGGGCATAAAGTGCATGTTCGGAGCGAGGTCCCCAATCATAGAAGCTCGGTCAAGGTGATGAGGTCCAACGGCTGCGGCAATGGCGAGCGTTGTGTCCTATCCGATGGCACGTGAAACATATAGGCCGATAATCATGATTGCGCCATTCAGCTGGGTTTCGTCTTGGCACGAACGTGCGGTTCGGAGTGGCAGCCGCAACGACAGGAGCCGAGCTGTAAGTAGCAGGGGCATTTTGATGAGGTGGCAAAATGCCCATATTCCCGATCTCTTGGCGAACCACCGCCTGTATCATTGAAACAACATCGAGGTTGTGTCCTGGCGCACTGACGCTAGACATAGCGGGTGCCATAGCCTCGAGTTCCCGACGGATTATTCTGGTGACGTTTTCCGGCGCTGGTGGTTTATGTAGTGTGGGCAAATCTTCGCAAGAGGACGTAGCTGCCATGTTGGGAAGGCGGTCAAATCAGTGAACTATGCACCTACTTTTTGCCTGTTCGAAGCGATGACATGCTACGATGACCGACTCCACCGTCGAGCAGTTCTTTCACAGGAGAAAATTGAAGGCGTCATCGGCTATTCCTTTTAGGATGTGTCCAACTTTGTTCTCGTCGAGGATGTCCTTGTCGACTTTGCGGCACAAAGCCAACACGTACTGGATGTATGCGATGTACGGCTCTGTGGATGTCTGGGCACGAGTCGCAAGCTCTTTCTTTGCGGCCACTTGACGTCCGATGGATTTCCCAAATAGATAGCGCAATTTCTGCTTACAAACGTCCCAGCTGGTCAACTCTTCTTGATGTGTCTCGTAATAGAGTTTTGCCGTGCCATGCAAGTAGAAGATGATGTTCGCCAACATAGGCGTCGGATCCCAATGGTTGCTGCTGCTGACGCGCTCATATAGAACCAGCCAGTCATCGACGTCTATGCCACTTGTGCCGTTGAATGGGCCTGGGTCACGAGGTTGCACCACAACGATCGGTTGCTGGGCTGACGGATCTTGTTGACATTGAGTAGCCTGGTCAGTCATCGTGGTAGCTACATGGCGCCGTCCGCTGCGAAGATCCAGCTCGTGAGGCTGTATAGCGAGTTGTACCCCGCACCTTCCACTAATGATGTTACGGGGAATAAAGTAAACACAATGAATATACTGGCGAGCGAATGCGTACAACGCTGCTGCAGTCCGAGCACGTTCCCCACAGCACTTCGTCGTCGTCATCCTCAGGCATCTACTTAGCCCGTGACAATATCAATCAATTATTGCTCCTTCAGTAGGAACTAATTCATCCAAATTTTTTTCAAGAATATTTTACGAAAATTTAATATTTCTTGTATTATTATTTTTGATCTTATTTAAATACTTATATTCCTTTTTTTGTTAAGCTCCCCGATTCTTTGCCAATCTCCCAGTCTTAGTGTGAGCCACAACTTTAGAAACCACAGCTACAACTACACTGTGGTGTTGTCGGTTGAGTATTGAGTAATTTTAGCTCTGGGTTCTTTTTGTGTTTGAGTCTTTAGTTGATAATTCCCTTTTAATTTTGCCTAGTCTGCTACATTGATATAGACTGATTCTCCTGGCCAGGCACGATCCGCCTTGTCGTCAATGTCAGGTAATGAACTGCCGTTAGTTATTCTTCTGAAGTGGGGTCAACAGTATTTCTGTCATAATCATGCCAACAAATGGAGGTCTCATCCGATTGAAAGCCACCTCAAATAATTTTCAGACCATCACCACCATGTGCCGATTCGGACGAGGTGCCATAATGTGCACGTTACCAGACCAGACTTGTGTACAGTATCTGCTTAAGTATACCTTGTTCATGTCAACCCCGGTGAGTGCTGTCATGGGGCCTCAGCTTGCATGCACTAAATGCCACGTAAGAGGCCTCGATTCTAAATTGAGTTCAGCGAGGAACTTCGAGAGCTTTTCCGGCGACATTTGTGTTTGCCGTTGCAATCACTTGAATAATAACAAGAGGATACCTACCAAATCTTTCATTGCTACGTTTGTGGGCACAACATACCTGTCAGAAATAAAGCGTCCGCCTCTGATATTTCACGCCGACTTCCTCTTTTCTCGTTCATTTCAATACAAAAGGCGCTAGAGATTCGACCACAGTGCGCGAGAATCCAAATGAAGTATTCACTACCATTTCTGCGGTGAAAGCTATTTTTTAAGAAAATGCTCCACATCACCAAAAAAGTGCTGCCTTTGCGGAAGGAGTCACTAGACAGACCACTCTGAATGTCCTGCTTGCGCTCAAAAAATACTAGGCCTTGAGATTATACACTGCCACTGCTGCTCGCTTAAAGACGATAATGATATAGATAAAGACCGGGCTTTTCAGATATTCTAGTGCAGCAGGTCAGATTTTCTGTCTAGACCTGAACCTCTCATACATAGGTGAATCTGCTGTAGAAAAGGCAATGACTAAGGCAATGGATAAATTATTATCTAACCTTACTCACTGTCTGGAAGGGATGTTAATCAGTTTAGCATAACTAGTGAACTCCCCTGCACTTGGGGGAGGGATGGGACAGATTGAAAGAAGACTGGAACAGAGATAAAGCACACACGCACACCCATAAGAACCGCGCAGAGTGGCAGACTTGTGTGGCGTACGGCAGAAGTAAAGGGTAGGAGGCCAGGTGGAACATTGTTGGTCGTTCTCGACATTGGCAGAAGTCGCAGCTGCCAACGTAACAACTGAGAGAGATCTGTATTATGTTGTGAATTTTGGGTAAAATTTGAGCTCGATCCTACTTACCCTATGAATGTCTTGATTCGTTTCGTATTGTTTGTCTCTGTCAATGCTCGTTTCTTCATTCGGTAGCCTGTCAGTGCCTCTGACGTATATACTTGCAAATGCCAGCGTAGTGAAGATATAGATTACATTTGTATACATTGCTGTCATTTTGTACGGCTTACTTCTTTCTCTCGTTTGTGATGTTTACTGAAATTGTGCTTAAGTTGTCTTGGTAATACAGTTCCGTGGCTGATACACCCCCGAACTTGTCGAACCTGTTAAAAAAAGCAATATTTATTTGTTAGAGCGAAGTAATCCTGGCTGATAAATGCATTCCAAAATAAATAAGATTGAATACACTAACGGAATTTTCTTTCCTTGTTGTTTGAGATCTCTAGTAGATGAGTCGATCTTTTCAGGAATAACATGAACAAGAAGTCATAAACAAGGCTGATTTGCTCTGGAGGTTTCAAGCCTAACAGAAGGAAGGAGCTGCATGGGCAGCTTTGCTGGCTTCCTTTCCGTTTTTTCTCCCTCTTTTTCCTTTTTCTAAATTAATTTTTTCTCATTTTACTATACACGCTTATTGATCTTCACTCTCCTGATATTGCTGCCAGGCTAGACACAACTGAGTAGAACGGGGCTCTTACCAGCCGAAACAGTTTCACAAAGACGACCTCGTAATTTTACAGGTGGAAAGATTCATTCCAAAGGTCGATACTGACTTCATGAAAACGTTATAAAAAAGAAAACTTTGTCACTCACTTTGTTTGCCTATTCACGAAAGTGTTTTAAATAGATTGAAATCGGCGGTTTTCGTAGTATGCAGATTCGTTGTCTTCACGTTTTCTGTACTAAGTTCTATTCCTTCACTCTAGAATACAGTATAAAACCACAATCTCGCACTCCGTATACATTTTTCTTCGTTTTACGCTTTCGTTTTATCACTAGTGGGCTCCAAGTGAACGACAAAAAAAAATGGTGCCACAGAAGCTATAACTCACTGGGGATAATCAGCGGCGGCTTCGCCTGTTTCAAGAGCACGGGCACGCGCTGACAACAAAGTTTTAGAATGCCACTGCACATTATTTCTGACTTGACTGAGAAGTCATACCGCTTAACTGTGCGTTTTACAACACTTGAAAGCACTGATATCTGAAGGCGATGTTTTTCGGAGGTGTCGTATGTGCTAAGATGGTGGGTGATGGTGTGAAGGACACAGGCAACTGAGTGCGCTGTCAAGCATCACACGAGTCGTCAGGAAAAACGTCGTGTGAAGATTGGACTTTCAGCTTAGTACAAATTATCTAGTACTCATTATCGGCTGCGGGTATGTAGCAGAAAGCACTTTCCGAGATGCTCACCGGGACCGGCCCTCTATGTCACCAATCTCCACCTTGACTCCATGAATTGGTTGATTTATTCCGAAATTTAAATTGAACTACAGCAACAATATTTATTTCCTGGGGAACAGCGTGTATATTTGTCAAAAACGTGGCACGCAATTTTTTATGGACACGATCTTGTCCCCAAAAGTGATGAACTTGCAAAACAAACGCACGAACACTCTCCACCGAGGTCTCTGTACGATGTTTTAGCCCGCACTGCGGCTAGTTGCCATATTGACGTACCTGTTTTTACAGCAATTATTTGGTTCTAAAAACGTTGCTTCCTAATACATTCATTTCCTTGTTAACCGCTGCTGTTTGGATAAGTGTTCCAGCGAGCAGACAACAGTGTGTTCGCATTGCGTAGCGCAATGCCACATATTGCACCCCGGTGGTTCGCCCCACCATTGTGGTCTAGTGGCTAAAGTACTCGGCTGCTGACCCACAGGTCGCAGGATCGAATTCCGGCAGAGCCGACTTCAGTTTCGTATGAGGCGAAAATCTTGTAAGTGCGTGTGCTCACATTCGGGCGCACGTTACAGCCCCCCTTTTGGTCGAACTTTCCGGAGCCCTCCCTTAGAATGTCTCTGATTATCATATATTCGTCTTAGGATGTTAAACTCCACATATCCAATCACCGTATAGATTGCATATTCTTCTAATGCAATCGCGCATTTGATAGTCTCAAGCTTTGGACTATGCAAGCTCTGGTGCTATGAATAGCGGCAAAACCACTGGAATGTAAATGAAGTGGTCGGAATTATGCCGAAAGTGAAGACACTGCTATTGCTAATGTCTCAGTCCCTAGCAATGAATGTACCAGATAAAAAAAGAACAGAAGGAATAGTGTTTCTGAGGAAACAGGAAAACATGAAGAAAGATGACCTACTCAGAGGGCACAAGTCAGTTCCTGGTACATAAGTACGCCAGGACCCATGGCTAAGCAGCACCAGAACCAGCAGCGCCAGAACCACCAACCAGCTGGTTCTGGCACTGGTGAGCCATGGGTGCTGGCGTTCTTGTCTACACGAACTCACTTGTGATCCTCTGAGACGGTTATCTACCACCAAGAGGAAGGTCGGAATCGCCGCCCAGCGACGCACGCGCCACTCACTCTATGCGCCACGAACCACACGTGTCTCTCTACCGCGTCCTTCAGGCGGCTCTCCCAAAACGTTTTGAGCAACACCACTTGAATACCAAATGTGAACGATATGTCAACGATATTGAAAATTTCAAGAACTTGAGAAGAACATTTGTCATGGCACGCACAAGTTCGCATGAAAGCCGTTCATGCAAAAACAGTTACACACACACACACACACATATATATATATATATATATATATATATATATATATATATATATATATATATATATATATATATATATATATATATATATATATATATATATATGAGTGTGTGTGTGTGTGTGTGTGTGTGCTGAAGCCCAATGATCGCTCATTGAAGCCTTTATTCTTGTATGTTCCCTAGTTTTCATTCAGCCAATACACGCCTTTCACGCAAAAACCTCACTTGGTGACCACCCATCGTCGCGACAACGGCAATCTGAGCTCACCGCACATAGTCTATAACAAATTAGCGCCTGTTAAAAAATATCTACTTTCATTGTCTCCAAGTATTTTCTCTTGCCTTGAAAGTCTTCGTTCTTTCTAAATTATTTACAGAAATGCCGAGGAAGGCTTTTCGCATAACTCTGATATCGAAGCATAAGAGGAGCACGATGGCGTTATTCAACATAGCGACAAAGTCAAGCACGCCACACTGAAAGCAACTCCGTCAATATTCACATTCTAGCAACTAGTAGTGTCATACATTGGCAGAGCCCCGCCGCGGTGGTCTAGTGGCTAAGGTACTCGGCTGCTGACCCACAGGTCACGGGATTCAATCCCGGCCATTGCGGCTGCATTTCCGATGGAGGCGGAAATGTTGTAGGCCCGTGTGCTCAGATTTGGGCGCACGTTGAAGAACCCCAGGTGGTCGAAATTTCCGGAGCCACAGCGGCTCTCATAATCATATGGTAGTTTTGGGACGTTAAACCCCACATATCAATCAATCAATCAAATTCATTGGGAGAATCCGAGCACTTTCGGTAGTACTTCTCCATGCGGAGCAAGTCTATTCTATTGGAAGATGATGGTGCTCCCTGTATGTTTCATTGGCAGGTCTGGAGGAGCTCCGTCGTGAGATGTACTCTACGAAGCAATTTTCAAACGCGAAGCTTTTTTTAGCAAACTTCAGCGACATTGAGCGTATCTATCTATCTATCTATCTATCTATCTATCTATCTATCTATCTATCTATCTATCTATCTATCTATCAATCTATCTATCTATCTATCTATCTACCTATCTATCTATCTATCTATCTATTTATGTAGCCGTCTACATTTGGGTGCTGTCATGGTCACCCCCTTAACTTGGCGTGAACCAAAATCAGGATGCTAGGGTAAGATGATTTTTACAAATTCGACGCTCTGGTCAGGACATGGATATTATCACAAACCCGTCGGGTACGTCGTCAAACACTTCCCGCCAAACAGTGGCACACACCTACGGACGAGTATGTGCCGCTCATATGCGGGTATGTGCTACAGGTGACTGACATAATCTACCCAGAAACAATGAGGACACACGAGGGCAATTTTAAAGTACCAACGTTAAGAAATACTCGACATCAGTAGCGTCAACCTGACGAGTGCAAAGAATAAATGTCAGGGTTTCAGCTAGAATCGAAACCAAGCATTCTGCGAGAAATGAAGCATTTTACCACTGACTTACGCCAAGTCTCGAAACTACTTTTGAAATAGACGGTAATCTTCGTGGCATGTCAATAATGGTTGCAGAAATTGCCTACCCAATTTTATAAACATTGCTTATGTACTCCTTTGATAGAGTCATCACGTCAGGTTAACGCCAATGGTGGTTACTTGCCAAGCGCTGATGTTGATTTATGTAGCAGTGCCCAGCGCTTCATATTGCCACTAGTACAAGTTCTGAAACTATTACTTCCACAAATGATGACATGATTGTATGTGCCGCTGTTCAGAAGAGGACAAAGATGCGCGTGAAGAGAAAAACAATAGTCATACTGCCGTTGTTCAAATCAGTTTGACGTCCTTGTGTGCCATTATCAGCAGGTTACAGTTACGTTGTAACGTGACACTGGTGGAGGTGCTGGGTAACAGTCTATGCACTGTTACCACGAGGAAGATCTCGGTCCCAACATCGACGCCTTAGTAGAAACAGCCAACCTTCGACGCAGTCGGCGGCAACTAGGCCATCCACCCCAATTAAGCCCTCTTCCGGAACGCTCCAGAACCATGGCATATGCGACAACTGCAAGCCAGACTGAACAAGCCGCGACTCCGCCAGCACCATGGCTACCAGCCTCTCGAACGCCAAAGCCCTTCCATGGGGAGCCCTACGAAGACGTTGAAGACTGGCTGGACCAATACAATCGAGTCGCCGTCGCCAACGAGTGGGACGAACACCGGAAACTGCGGTATGTCTATTTCTACCTGGAGGATTCGGCGCGTATTTTGTTCGAGAATCACGAGGCCACCCTAACAACCTGGCCGGTGTTTTGCACTCACCTGCGGAACACGTATGGTGGCGCCGACCGGAAAGAACAAGCCAAACGTCTCCTCAATTCTCGCAATCAAAGACCCAATGAAAGCGTGGCCATGTTCGTTGAGGAGATGTCTCGTATGTTCCGTCGAGCGGATTCTGCAATGACGGAAGACAAAAAGGTACGCATGCTGATGCGGGGTGTCAAGGAGCAGCTGTTTCCAGGACTTGTACGAAACCCACCAGCTACCGTGGCAGAATTCCTCCGTGAAGCAACGACAATGGAGCGAATGC